TCTGTCCTGTTATTGCTATAGCATTACTGCTTTGTTTACTTTTATTGGTTATATACATCTAAGGAGTTTCTATTATTTCCTCCTTGCTGATGTTATTGTTCCTTTTCATCTTAAGCATATTTCCACAAACTCAATTTATTCTACTATTCATATTCACCTTCTATTATACTACAGCGTACATTGCTTTAGTTTAGTTTTGTATTTAATTCAGAGAAAACTAGTTATTTCAATTCAATTTTGAGATTTTTATCTTTATTGCCAAGGCTTGATTTCAAAAAACTCTATTCATTAGAATTGCACTATTGATATCTAAAGTCTCCTTAGTCAAATATTTCACATTTAAAGTCAAAATTACTCTGATTGGCTATGCCATCCTGTATGCCATTAAGATTTAGAATCTAGCCTTAGTTTCTTCTGAATATCTCATTTTTCAGATAACTAAGTATGCTCAAGCAATAGTAGCGCTCAAGTTTCACCTATTCCAAAGATTTTTAAAGTTCTTATGCCCTTTTCATTATCACTTCTGAGAGATTCTATAAAATACCAACTATATCAATATCCATTTCTTATTAGTTCATACAATATGGAGCAGCTGAAGTGCCTGTGCTATCAGTTCTCATGAATTTCTGAGTTTATTAAATAATCATGTCCTATATTTTTTTGAAACTTTCACTTTACTCTATCCCAGCTTCTACTTCATTTTAATCATAGAAATTATCTAAGAAAAGATCCTTTCTCTAAGTTTGCTGGACCTACTAAAAGTTCAAATCCAATAACCCATTATTATCTCTTTGCATTATTTACTTTAGCTCATCAAGTAGCAGTTGCCGACACATGTGTTTTGCAGCAGATACTGTGGGATTTTGAAATGTCATATCAGCCAAAGTCTTACCTTCAGATGGTCCATTCGAAGCAGACTATTTTTTCTTTTTTGCTTGAGCTTTTTTCTTCACTTTTTTGTCCTTCTAGTTCTGAATTTATTCCTCAGATTACTACTTTTTTTATAATTCTTTGCTTTTTCTGCTACAACCAGCTGGCTGGTTATTATTTGCAATATTCGCTTCATTTTAAGGATCTTACTATTTTTAAGGTTTTTTCTTTTTAGACTTTGACTAAGCATTTTATTTTAATTGAAGGGGAGGAATTTAAGCAACTATTGGAGTTTAAACTTCCGTTAGCTGAATAGGATTTAGTGCTACAGTGTTTTGCAAGTAATTTTCATAGTCAAATACAAACTCACTATGCATAGGGATTTAGTTTTGCTATTCCTCATTATTTTATGGTTATTTTATAGGAGTTATATCATCTGTGGATTTAGTCTCAGTATTAGTATTAGTGATATTATTCTCATTCTATAATTCAGCTGGAATATGAGTCAAATCAGCGAGCATGTCACTCATCTAAACTGTCTTATATTTAACATTTGTGATGAGCTATTTGTCTTTCTGTTTTGAGTTAGAGTTAGGATTAGATTTTGATTTTGAGTTTTTACCCGAATTGTTCTTTTATCTCTATTATTACGTGGGGTTAACCTAATCATTTTATATGAAATTTAGTTATTACTATTTCTTTATTTACGACTTGCTTTATTTTTTATTCTATGTTCATCTCTAACTTTCCTAGTCTAGTTGTTGAGTTTTTTAATCTATTGCCTTTTTAATTTCTAAATATTTACTATTTATTTCTTCTATTTTTTATTAATCGATATCATTAATCATCCCTTGAGGGGTTTTGGGGTTTTGGGGTTTTGGGGAGATCGG